CAAAAATGTGTTCAAAATTGCTGTAAACATGCATATGATTCAGAGTCTGAATTTTTTAAAGAACAGTAAGTTAATTCAGGGAACAGGTGACAAAAGAAATGTTCCAAGCACTACACTAGAGGACTGCTTAAACATGCATGCATGCATCACAAGAATTGCCTGAAAGCAGAGCAAAATTAGGAAGTGGTTGAAGCCACTTGAAGTTGTCAAGCAAGTTTTAACCAAAAATACTTGTAAAATAAAAACCGTGTCACGTTATCATCTGTCAAACATGCCCACTATAGTTATGGTTTTGAATGCAACAGTATGAATAATTGGCTGCTTACAATTAATAAACTTACTTTGAATGTCCGTGGGGCAACATAACTGCTCCGACTAAGCCACATCTGCTTGACTAAATCGGCATAAGCCTCTGCGATCTCGCCCCTCATTCCAAGAGGGTTCTCTCGGTTAATCTCTGCCTCATACTGATCATTCAGGAAGTACTCCGTGAGAGGAGACGCATTGCTCAGGCACTGCAAGGAAAAAAGAAAATAACTGTTTACTTTAACAAATTATTTATTTAAACTCTAAGGAAGCAAGATACAGAAATAAAGTGCATTTCTGAATAAAGTGTTGTATTTTGACTTCAGCTCTTTTTTATTTTGAGGTTTTACTGGTTTGTTTTTTCCTTCCATAGCTTTAATTGTAGAAGTACTCTTGAAAATAATAACAAAAAAACGACTGGTATTAACCAAAAATGGCACATGACTCTACATTTTGTGCATTTCCTGAAAAATACTTTATATTCTCTAATATGCTCTGATCTGCACTCAGCATGTTTTAACCTAATCTGGTCAAAATTCATCCAACATTCCATATACAATTCCTGGTTAGTTTACTATAAAAAAGGAATAAAGCTAGTTAAATTAAATTAAGGCATTTTAAAAATTAAATACAATTTCTTCTGCATAAAGTGGCACTGTTCATGATAAAATACTTACTAACAGTTATACCACAGTACTGTAATATTGTGCTGCCCTACTAAAGTCTTGATGTGTATTTACCTGCAGCGCTGAGTTCATAAAGCACGTATTTCCGAGATTACTGAGTCCACACAGGCCGGGCTGGGACTGTGAGTCTCTGTAGTTATAAGAGGAACTGTACGAACTGTAGCCTCCCAATCTGTGGACAAAGCAGGTCACTTATGAGATTTTGCTTTCACCATGCAAACCCATAAATCCTTTAGCCTTAAAAGTCCTGCCTGTTGCCAGAGGAGGCGCTATTGTTGAGTGTGTATCCAGTACTACTGCTGCTACTGCTGCTGTCCCCATTGGTGACTGTGGACGAGGCACTGGCAGAGGAGCTGGAGGAGAGCTTTGGAGAGGTAGTGAAGTTCCTGGATGCTGTTGTACTTGATCTAGTGATGAAAAAAAAATAGACATGGTAGAATGGTAGAAAGATTTTTGCAAAAAATAATAACAGAAATAAACTTTACTTGGGATGAGATGCTTGTCGAGGCCATGTGCCATCCTCATTCATGCGTTCAATTACAAGAACCTGTAAGAACACAATTTTATTAATAGAGTACATGACTGAGTTAATTGAGATTAAACCACAATAAAAGTCTAATGATGTTTGTAACTACAATATGCTGCCAGGAATATTAATATATTTCATCACCAAGAAACAATCTGGAGAAATGCACGTGTAATACAGCAGTAATATTTATGTAATTTGTAATAAACAGTAAGAAAACTTGACAGTTCAAATGTTTGTGAAATGCCCCAACAAAATCTAGAACGTATCAAGCAGAAAGGTATGTGGATGTTGAGTGGTGTTGCTCTACCTGTCCCTGGAAGAGCCCTGCGTCCTGTACAGTGCTGTCTGGCTTGTTCAGCTGCTCATACGTGTTACTCATGTATTTGTTCCACAGCCGCGTCTCCTTCTCTGAAGGGATATTAAACAGCGTCCTCATCTCCTTCTCTATAGTGTCTGTAAACAACATGGATGTGACATTTAGAAAACAGGAACCTTCATTTACAGTTCCAAATAAACAATCCATTAAACAGTCCATACCTATAGTATCAGCTTTACTGAAATGCCGTGTGACGACATTTTCCATATTGTCATTCTCACATAAGTTTAGTTCCAGCAGATAAACCTCCACTTTACAATGTTTGACAAACATGCCATGTTCAACCACCTGTGCACAGACAAAATATGACAGTTATGGAAAGCTGGATGTGTTTTGGTTTTTGATATCTCAAGATCTCAAATTTTCCTTTACCTTTCTAACAATGGGTCTCTGGTCCTCGAGGCAGCCATACCAGCTGACTAGTTTGTTCCAAGCCTCAGTGGGAACAAGAACATAGTCCAGCTCATCAATAAGGTGCTCCTTCAGCGCCTGAGTTTCTTGGTCTGAAACACAGCACACAGGTTTTAGGTTTGGATCAACTTTCTTAATTAAGAAAACTTTTTTCAAAATATTTTTTACCTGAGAACAACCCAGAGTTATCAATAGGTCCTGGGTAGAGGCTACGCTCTCCAACATTGTACATGTCCCAGCTGTCAAAGCCCACATATTTCTTCCATTGTTTGAACCACCTGCTGTCGATAAGATACCTAAACCACAATTATTAGTAAGAAGATGTCACAGTGTCTTGTCTCCCAGAGTTACAGTGATGCTATAAAATGTGAAGGGGAGAGAAATCTCTACAGCCAACAGTAGTTTCCAAAACAAATCCCATATATAGTTACAGCAAACTGGCCCAACTTAATCCGATCCCAGACAAAATCTTATTTAGTTAATGAGCTTGGTTTTATAGAATTACACATTAAATCGTGTGTATTTATGAAAAACTGGGCAGACTTAATTAGTAATGACTTAGTGAAAAAATGAAAGTGTATGCATTATTTATTGCAGCATGAAAATGTTTATTATTGTTGACTTGGTTCTCAATATCAACTGCCTTGTATCAAAAGTTTTATAAGATTTAATACTTAACGTTTGCGTACAATTTACACAGAGGGCAGAGCCAACAGAGTCCAAAAACACTGCACTTACTTTCACAATGACAAAGCTTTGAGCTGCGCTTGGCAAAACTATGTAAGCCATATCCGTTAACTTGACAACCAGTAGTTAATTTCAGTTAAAATGAAAGTGCCGTCATTCCGTCTATCCTCATGTTTCCTGATAATTGTACCGATTTACAATAAACCGGTTTTGACTAACAAGATCTCACTGGGCCCGCACTATCAATCAAGTATCACCCTTATCAGCCTGTGCCAGCTAACTTGTCATTATAAAGGCCTAGCAAGTAAACCTTATAACGTTAAAGCAATGTAACTTCAATGAAGGCAGGTGGTTAAGAGGAACGTTTAGCTTTTATGTTGAGAGTACACAAGTATTTGTGATTATGTAACCATTTAAGCAGAAATGAAAGTGAAATGTAGCTACTAGCCTGCTATCCAGTGATACATTAGCTTGCCAACTACCAGTAGCATAACACCACCCGATGCCAATCCAAAATCATAGTTAGCATGCTAGCATTTCCTGTTTGATACAACTTAGCTCGCCGGCTAATGCTAATTGAAACACAGGGCTAATGATAGTGTGTAAGATCCGTACCATTCGTCGCCTTTCCGCAGGGTGGTTTTTAAAAGTGACCCGATAGTCTGTTTTTGGTTTTCAGGAGAAGGCGATGGGTCTTGGACAGTTACCGGCTCCGTGTCCGAGTCCGCAGCGCTGCCCGCCTCAGGTCCGCCTCCCTCGGCCATCGTGCAGCGAGTGTGCCGGTGCCGGGAGCGCGCACAGGAAATAGACGCACCGGGAGAATGTGGTGGCGGACACGCGCACCACAACAGACACAGAATCAGGTTTATTAGTTTAAGAATGATAAAGATCTCATAACGTGGGAAAACAAAATAACTAAACCACTTCATAGTTTGTTGTACCAGAAAAACCATCATGCATGCAAGCAGTATGCATGGAATTGAACCACCAACCTATGGACAGGTGCTCTAGCAGTTGAGCTGATGTCGCCCCATAACAGTGTAAATAGGTGTAATATAATAGGAAAGGAGGTCCCGTCTAGTTCGTTGAAGCATAAAATTATGGAACACTATAAAACACACTCTTCAAAAATGACTACTTAAGGATAAAATATAGGAGGTAAATCATATTCATACATAGTTTGAGCCACCATTTTAAACCAAATCCATGGGAAACACTCCATTTCATTCCATTTACATTACAATATATTCTACAGGTCAATAACATTATTTAAAGGTGTACTGTTTTTGTAATGTTTCTGGTCTTAGGGCATCTTCAACTTGTTTGTCTCCCTGGAGTGTTAAGAGTTACCAGTTTTTGTTCCATACATTACTAGTATATCTTAATGTATTAACTTACAGGTGTTTTATTGCTTAAAATACCTTGAAAACATGCATTCTTACTGTGGGCTGGGATAACCTCTTCACAAATCTGACTTGGCCTAGTGGTGTCATCTGTCACATGACATTAAACATATAAAAGGTGTTACTGATTAATGCTAAAGTTATATTTCTTTCTTTTTTTTTAAATTTAACCAGGATTGTTTCACCGTGATTAAAAATATATTTTTCAGGTTAGTCCTGGCCCCACAGAGACCTCTATTGTACATGTTTTTAGTGGTAGGAGAAACCAGAGCATCCAGAGGAAACCTACACAGGCAAGGGGAGAACATGCAAACTCCACACAGAAAGGCCTTGCACCACCCCAGGATCAAACCCAGGACCTTCTTGCTGTGGGGCGAGAGCGGCATGGTGGCAAAACAACTTTGCCACCATGCCACCCTAAATGTCACAGTGTGGAACATTCAAGGCAAAGCACTCACATCCCAAAACAAGACAAGCCAATTTAAGTGTTTAATATGTAAAACTTTTTTAAACACTTGGGTGAGTGTATGCAGAAAGTGTAGCGATACCTGCCATACTAGATGAGAGGTGTCTGAGAAATATGCATAAATCAACACAGATCGTTCCAAACAGGCATTTTATACATTACAAAACAAAAGAGATACATTATAAAAATTAATCCTCTACATAATTCAAACTTTAGTATTTCATCAGATCCCGATGCATAATCTAGCATAGCATTTCTTCAATCTTGGAGTTAATAAGTACATTTAAATTAGCAAAATGCAGTGTTGTTAAATATGGTTGTCTTCTGTGTAATAATGAGTGAAAATGAGTGGCAAATGCTTGTAACATGGGAAAACAAATTCACTAGATCACTTCACAGCTTGTTGTACCAGCAAAACTCATATGGATGCTCATAAACAGAGCCCACAAGATCCTGCCTGGCCTGATGAAGCAGAACATTATGGAACACTATAATAAAGCTAGTGCGTTTTTCCATCTACGAAAAATATAAAAAGAAATGGAATCTCTTGAAAATGTTTGGACTGTTTAAAGGAATGTAAACGTTGCATAACATTGAGGAATCTGGCCCATTTCTGTCCTTAACTAAAGCAAATCCCTGTGACAAATAGATGTGAAGGCTTCAAATGTTTAGAAGATACCGGTGGGTAGCTCTTTGCTGAACATGCCATCAAAGTCCAGCTCTCTACTCATGAGGTCGTCCTCCACGCTCTCCAGCGCCCACTGGTGGTCCGTCAGCTCTAATGCTTCCCATTCAGCCTAGAAAAGCAACAATGAGAAATATTTATCTTACCTTTATGAATTGTGGTAAATTAGGACTGTGATATTAAAGTATATGAACAACATGTTAACTTAACATTAACACCATTAATGGAACGGTGAATCTTCTTGTTGTGAGGCAAAAGTGTTTTAAGGACCGAGACATTGTGGTTGGCACCAATTACATAAACTGCTATTATATAATAGTTAAAATTTTAAAGTTTAACAAATTCATACCTTAAATGCCTTATTTGTATCTGCTGGCATTGCCATAGCTGCACCACTCATTTGCTCTTGCATAATCCTGGACTGATCGGCACCTGTGAACAGTCAAAACAATAAAGTTTAAGAGTTGCTGCTTTAATCAACTGTTAATTTCAATTATCTCAACAGCCAACTATCTGCCTCCAGCACCAGCATCTCAGCATCACATTTAATCATATCCATAAATCTCCTTATTAGTCTTTCTCTTGGAATCATGCCCAGTTACTCTAACCTCTAATAGCTCACTCAATCAATGTTATCACTATGTGTATAATATTATAACATCATATTTTATTTTAGCTGTCACTTACCATTGTCCTGTCCAAGGATTAATGAGTACATGCTTCTTAGACCAAAGACATTAAGGAAGTACCATGATGCTGAGCTTACCCTAAACAAGAACACAATTATAAATCATTTCAATATTGATTTAATTAATAATGATGATGCACATATACTATTGATAAGTATACCAGGAGGCATCCAGGGAGAGCAGCTCTATTCCTTGTTGTAGCATAGGCTTAAAGCGTAATGTGAGAGGGAAGGGAACCTTGGCTGTAAAAATAAAAACGTCAGTTAATTCAATTTTACATATTTTTTTCAAAATAATTTCCCTTGTGGATCAATAAAGTTTGTCTAAATCTAATCCAGAATAGATAAATGTTGCAATATATAATAGGCCTATATAAGGATACTCCAAGACACCTACTTGTTACAAATCCAGAAAAGGTCCAGTTTATCCACCCTCCAATGAGAATCATGGGAAGCACATTGGTCACGTTTCCTTTCATCATGTCTGTCAACATACTGGGATCTGAAGTGAAGTAAAAAGCAGTCTTCATTTGAACAAAAATGTAACATGATAATTAGGTTCAGGCACATTCAGATCAGCTGTATACCTGTCATTGGGGAAGGTGGAACCACTTTTCTTTTGGTCTTCTTGAAAAATCCATCTTCTTGATTGTTGAAATAAAACTTCCTCATCAAAAATGACTGGAAAAACAATTTAAAATGTTTTGCATTTGTCATTTACTGATTAATTCACTACTATTATTACTGACTGTTAAATGGACATAGCACCTATGTGTACTGTAAATATCTACCTGTTTTGGGATATATTTTCCATTCTCCCGTAGGATTCTACTCCGAATTAGGACCTGGCTGAAATTGGAAAAGAAATAGAAATATTGACTTCCTATGTTTTTTGTTTGTTTGTTTGTTTGTTTTACACAAACTTGTGATACAAACCTGTCAGACACTTGCTCTAGGGTGAGCTTTTTGTCACTTTGAAGAAGAATAGACACATAATGCCGAATGACTCCCACTAAAAATGTGATGAAGACAATGGGCAGCACCACCCATAGTCGTATGTTGGAGTCAAGCAGTAACTCTGGTTCAGCCATAGAGCTTATTGGCTAAAAACACACAATATGATGAGAACATTTTACAAAACGTGATTCCTATGGTTCTACTGAAGAAACGAATGGGAATGTCATTGAGCTAGTTAGCCGCAACCTTCACATTCACATAATTACAAAGATCCATGCTTTGATTATCTCAACAAATATTGGAAACATCATAGCCACACTAATATAGTTCACCATATGCTCATTAAAAATCTACAAAATGACATTTAAATAGAAATGCTAGCATTAGTGTTAGCATCATGCTACCTTTTTCCTGGTAGATCAGTGTCGGGAGATGGTGAGCCGTGATGCAATAGCAAGATGAAATTTACAGACCGAGGAAATATGTTTCCACCATTTAATGTTGATAGGTCTGTTCTGTTTTTCTATTAGATGCCATATACTGCCGTATCTTTGTAATCTATTCCGTAATAACTCAATGGAGAAGCAGAATGTTGCAGCTCTTCAATCGCATCTCTCCCATTGAAATGTAGTGCCCCCTAGTGGTGATGGGAGAGAAGTGTGCAATTGTGTTTATATCTTTATGGCACTCTTTCCAAACTATTCAAGATTTTTACTTTTGCAGTGCGTCTGCAGCCTGAATAACGTTGTCCCTCATGAATAATGCTTTTTAAGTCCATTATATTGTCCAAATAACCCGATAGTGCAATGACAAAACTCTCCGCTAGATGTCATATTACAAGTTTGCTGACTCTGCTGTAGAAGACGCTCTTCCGGTGGCCGAGAGGGAAAGCAGCGCCAAAGGTCCGATTAGCGAAAGAAATCCAGCGTTTTTTGCAAATAATACATGCGTAACTGTAAGTAAAACGTCAACAATATAACCATTAGTCTCCCATTTGTTGTATATAAATGTATAACTTAATGACAATGGCAGATTGTTCCTATATTTGTTGCGGATTTGTTTTAACCATAGACTGTAGTAGGTTAGTCGCCTTATATTCGACACGCCCTGGTTTTTTACACGTTTAATCACCTCTAATCACTGTTTTCTTGTATATCATCTGCAGATTGTTAATACAAGCTACATCATGGGAGGTGATAAAAGGTAAAAATCTGAAGAAACGTTATGGTCCATTCTATACCATATTCCTACGTGGTTTATTCAAACTACATTTTCATCAGGTTAGATAAAATGTCTTCAGAGGAGCTACTGATGTATAATTATATTTATATAGTGCTTAACTGGTGTATTTGTAGTTAATTGAGCACTTTCTGCCTTGAGAAAATGGCTGAACTGTTACTGCAATAAAAATACACATATTACACATTATAAGTATCAGAGTTTTAATAAACATTTCCTTGATCCTTTACCCACAGATATGAAGAGAAAATTAAATGCAGTCTGAAAAAAGGGGAATCAAATAAAGTGATTTTGATCCCTTATTCATTGCCTGTGTTCTAGACCGAGTCGAGGTGAACGCAGTGGGAGGTATGGCTCAGATGGCCACAGAGATGATGATGACTACCATGACCGAAGAAGCCGAGATGAAGATCGAGATTATGATCATCGATGGAGTGATGAGAGGCACAGGGATCGATATGATGACTACAGTCCAGAGGTATAATGAAATGATTCATATGATTGTCTTTAAAGGTGCACTATGTATCTATTCAATCTCTGTGGAGATTATATTGCTAAAGCAGGTGGCAGACGCTATACTTGAAAAGTTACTGTGCACTTTTTAACTGAATTTAAAGGGAATTCATTCTTGATTATTTTCTTTGACAGAGGGGACGAAAGCGTCGCCACAGTAACGACTCAGATGATGAGTATGACATGGACTATCCAGATCAAGATGGGAGGATGGAGTCTGATGAAGAAAGCAAGACCATAATGCTTCGTGGCCTGTCTCTTCATGTGACTGAAGATGATGTAAGCACATCCTCTCTCTCTCTCTCTCTCTCTCTCTGCACATTGCAGAGCATTAGACGGCAATGGAAGCCTTACTCTGTCTATGAGGGTTTTAATATCAGCTCACTTGAGAATTGACCTGTCAGACGATAGTTATCAGTTGTGTTAAAAGTTGTACATTTATTATATTCTTTAAAGAATGTATTAACACTGAGATTAAGAACCAATCACGGAGTCAAAAATGTAATCTCCATAAAGTGGTTCAACAGCCTTATTTTATAGTTTTTATTTAGTTTCAACTCATATGTCTAAATACTATCAAGAGTCATATTTATCAATATATACATACTAACTTTTATTATTATTTTTTTATTTAAATAGCGCGACTAAGCTAACTAAATTATGTTATTTTGCAGATTCGCACAGCTCTGGAACAACTGCCTGGACCACAGCCTGTAGATATCCGTCTGATGAAGAAACGCACAGGTACTTATTAACAGGTTTACAGGGCTATTGTCCCTCTACACTCTGTCTCTATCTCTACAATAACAATAAAGCCCTTTTCATCAGCCATCAGTGGACCTCATATTGGGTTTGTTGGTATGGAGAGGTAATCTTGATCCCATTGCTTGACACAGAAGAGATCACTTCCCCATTTTTTATCTTTAAGATACATCCCTGCCACTGTACAAGCCGATTGTGAGTTTACATGTTGCACCAAGGCATTCTCACTAACACACCTCCCATCTATATCTGAATGCTGTCTCTAGGTATAAGCCGAGGTTTCGCCTTCGTGGAGTTTTATCACTTGCAAGATTCAACACGATGGATGGAGACCAATCAGGTTGCCTCAACAATCACCAAGTTTAGACTTTATTCTTGGCGATTACAGACCCAGTATACTGACTTTTCATAAGACATTGTTGCACGAAATTTTATCAATCCATTTAGAGCTACAGTGCAAAATCATGCTACAATTTGCTAGGGCTGTAGTCGACTAATTATTGTATCTAGACACATATAAGGATTTATAGCAGAAAGGAGTGAGGAGTTTTGAAAGTGACCCAGACAGTTTAAACGGCCTTTCACTTATGAAGATGCTGTTTACTAGTACAGCTCTGTATACAGTCGTTTTTGTGCAAGATAATCCTAATTTTTTGCCACCTTCACACCATGTCCGCTTTAGTCAATAAATCAATTCACAGGGTATGTTTTAATTGACCAAGAATTTTTCTAGTCGTCTACAGTCCTAGGACTATTTGCTTGATAATATGACATGGTTAGTCTTTTGTGCCAAACTACAGCTTACTACAGTAGGCACCTTTCCTTACATTGAAAAGGCCTCATAGCCCCTCTGCACACTTGCTCCAGCTCAGTTACTGGGATATGCACTTCTTCATGTAACACCCGATGAGCTGGTAGCACTCCGGTCCCAAACACTGATTTATTTTGATTATTTGATTATCTTCGGTATACACACGCTACCCTCTCTGAAGCCCTCTCTCCACTTCTGTCCCCCTCTGACCCCAAAGAGAGTCTAGCCACTCTTTCCTGTTCCGGTTGTGCTCACTCATACGGTGGGGCACTGTATTCAGCAGGCCGGAAATAACTCCAGTTTTGGATTTTTACAGAACAAGTTGGTGATCCAAGGGAAAAGCATTGCTGTGCACTATAGCAACAGACGACAGAAATCCGAGAACTGGCTTTGTAATTCAGTAAGTGCATATCCTATCGTCTCTTAGGAGGTCTATGTAACTTTTCTGGGGTAGAGTCTGCCACTTGTCTCCATGGAGATAGTTAAACATGGAACTACATTTAACTATTTCTAGACACAGCAATCGTGGAGACGGCAAGGTGGCAAACCCTGTACCAGAAAAGTTGCATAAAGTACCTTTTAATAATTTAAAATATAATTAGAATAAAATATTATAATTAAATGCTTTATTTTAATATAGTAACAGTGTAATTTTGTTGTCCTTTTTCAGTGTGGTCTTTATAATTTCCGGAAAAGACAAAAGTGCTTTAGATGTGGAGCTGCTCAGGCCGGAGACTTGAGTCAATGGAACAATGGAGACAGTGAGTGGTACTATTTATAGTTTTAAGCTTCTACTCTGTTTTCCAATTTATTTCAAGATTTTCATTCTCCAAAGAGCTGTATACCTCTTCTTCATAATTCTAGATGGACAGCAGGGGCCTATATAAATTTATGAAGATTTACTGAGAAATATCAAACTGAAAATGTTGAACCATATGATTATTGGTGTGGAATTGGCTCTACAAACCTGCCATGTTAATCTTAGGGTTTGTAGTTCTTTCAGCTGACAACAATCACAACTGTGTGGATAGGCCCAGTAACTACAAAGCTATCAACCATAAACCAGGTTGACAAATCTGCAGTCTGATAGATCAACAAAACTTCAACGAATTCCACCATATCCAGAATTCTGATCTGCCCTCCAGCCTCATGAACTATAGGGATTTTAGAGCACTGTGGTATCATGTGAACGCAACCTATTGACTTGCACTCACTGTTTTTCTCACAGCGATCATCTTGAGGAACATAGCGCCAGACTCTTCTGTTGATGGCATTTTGTCCTTACTGTCTCCATTTGTGAACCTGAATGCTGGACACATCCGCCTCATCAAAGACAAACAAACTGGACAGAACAGAGGCTTTGCTTTTGTGCAGCTCTCCTCGCCACTGGTACTATACATTTAATTTTCATATTTTATTATTGTCAAATGTCATTGTGATGTTGTATGTGGTGATTTGGTGTCTTTTATTTTATAACAGGAGGCGTCACAGCTGCTCACCATGCTCCAGGGTCTTCAGCCTCCATTGAAGCTCGATGGAAAAACTATTGGTGTGGATTATGCCAAAAGTGCCAGAAAGTGAGTCATCCTATATTGAACATACCTTAAAGGACCCGTATTTTAAACACATTTATTGAACCTTTTACCCCATTACACTGTTATATGCTGGTAATAAGCTCTTGAGTGCTTAACTTGTCTTTGCTATAAGGCATGTCTTCTAATTTCTAACGGAGGTGTGATTGTTTTGACTTGAATGTTCCACAGTATAAAAAAGTTTTAAATTTATTTACTTTTCTGCAGGCAATGAGCTCATATATCACCCCTTATATAATGCACCATTATGCTGAATTATAGTCTTGTCCTGTGCCAGAATTACATAGAGTTGTGTCTGTCAGTTACAGTAGAGCCATATTTACTGGACATCTGTGTTTTCCAGGGACTCCACTCTGGCCGATGGGATTCGGGCCAATGCTCTCTCTGTCGCCAGTACGGCCATCGCAGCTGCTCAGTGGTCCTCCAGCCAGGTCCGGAGTCTTATGCACTGTGCTGGTGTTAATTTGTGTTTAGCTTTAGGATGTAAAATACCTTCCTTTTACTGATTAATCGGGGATGGATCTTAGTCAATCAAAATTTGTTCACTATTAATTTTATTTAGATTATAAGGATTTATATGGGACAAAAGCAGAAAGGTTACTGAGTAAGATAGCTAAAGATTTGATATTTTTGATAATTATATGTACAAAGGCAGTTTAAACCAATGATTCAATTCTTAACTCAAGTTCAGTCACCTTATACACGTCTATTGTTTTTATGTGAACTCTCATGCAGGTGTAGTCTTGTGAGTACATTTTGAGACAGATTCATAGAAATGTGTTATAGATTTGAGAGCTTTTACCACACTCACCTTTTTAGTCAACGAATCAATCGGCAGAACATGTCATAGTCCACTGTTTAGTCTATATACTTTTTTCTGTTTGTGTTGTCATTGTATTATGTAGTTTTATGTGGTCATACTAGTATAAAATATTGTCTCTATATATTTTGTGTCTACTTTTCCCCATAGTCAGTTTGGGCAAATGTTAATACTACAACACCCACCATTTAAAACTTTCTAAGTGTAATTCATTTTTCTTGTAGTTGAAGCAAGCCGCCGCAGCAGCTGCTAATTCATCCTTTGTGACAGCTCCTGAGGTCTATGCACAACAGGTAACACGGCAAAACAGAAGGAACTGCAAATAGTAAAATGTTCAGTGTACAAACGGTATTTCATAGGTTTTCAACAGGGGGGTCGATTGAAATGTTTTTAAATACATATTAACATGAATCCAACATTGTGGCGAACGGAGAAAAGTAAGCAGGATATGTCACCTGTCAGTCGGCAATGGATGTATTCAGCAGCACACGGTAGCTGTCTTAAGTTAGGCACCGGTTCACTCACAAAGACTGTCCCAAGGCCTCCTGTACACACATTTGTCATAGATGCAAAAAAAAACCCACAAGCACAACAGAGAAACCATGCACCTTAGAAACCACCAGTGAAAATGCAAGTGGCGAGGAGGAACCTGCTGCTGATGTAGAGCTGAAAATATGCAGATAATGATCTGAAGTTTGGATTTACCTTCAAGGAGAGAGATGGCATTGAATTTGCAATGTGTGTCATTTGTGCTGCTGTTCTTTTAAGTGCATCTATGAAGTCAACAGAGCCACTTAAAAGACAAACCTGTTGAATACTTCCAAGCTAGCCTCAAATCCCCCCAAGGTCAACAGATATTGGATAAGAAAATCAGCCAAAGTTAGTGAGGTAGCTTTGAAATGCTCTTATAAAATTGCTCTTCGGATTGCCCAGAAGAAACGGCCGTGGAGAAGATTTAATATTGCCTTTAACAACTGATATCTGTAAAACAATGTATGGGAATGATATAGACATTAATAATTGAAAACCTTTCCATTGTCGGACATAACCATAGCTCACCTTATAGACGAGATGGTATCTGATGTGAGGGTGCAACTGATAGAGAAGCTGAGGTTGGCAGATGTATTTGCATTACAATTAGACGAGTCAACAGATGTGGCTGAGGATGGCCACCTCCTGGCGTTTGTGCGCTGTGGAGATGAAAAGGAAATTCAGGAGGAATTTTTGTTTTGTATGTGCCTTCCTCAATGCACAGCTAGTTCTGAAATCTTCAAAACGATTGATGTTTGGGTTTTGTTTTTTTTTCTTTTAGAGAAAATTACATTCCATGGGCAAAAACGTATTATGCTGTGCACCGACGATGCAAGAGACACTAGGCCTAGTTGAATCTTAAAACATAATTGTATGCCATATATATAGTAGGGAGTCCCTGCTGCAGCTTTCCCTCTGTTTGTGGGTCCCTGGCCTGAAAAACGTTGAAGATCCCTGCTGTATTTGTTTTGTCACAGGTGCAGAGTTACCAGCTGCCTGAAGGCTTGGCCCCTGTTGGAGATGGTTTACTTGGAGGTACTGAAAACCCTCAAGATGTACTTGTTCTGTTCTTTGGTTAAAGCTTTAATGACTGTTTGGTGTTGTCTGTTTGTAGCTGCTCCAAATCTAATGCCTCCAGGTGTGGTCCTGTCACATGCAGCTCAGGTATATCAGCCTGTTGTGATGGCTCAGGCACACATGCAGGTAAACTGCAGCAAATGCATATTACATGTTTTTAGTAAATGCTTAATCACACTGATACGTTATTGCATTATAGATTCATTATAGTTTCCTGTTGCATGCTACATTTTGAGGATTTTTTCCCATTACAGCAACAATCTTAAAAATATATTATTCTAAAACCCATGGATAGTTGTCAAAAGAATGTTATTGGAATGTCTATGGTCACAAATGTATTTTTAAAATTATTTTTAAATGTGCAGTTGGTGAATCCAGCTGATGCTCAGGCTGCTCTCACTGCATCACTGCCGGTGTCGTCTAATCCTGCAACCACAGTTATGGCCAACACATCAAGTAAGAGGGACCAAGGATACACTTTTACACACCTTTTTATATTTGGGGTAAACAATGAGAATATGTATAAGGCCAGTATTATATAGATTATAATCAGATCTGATTTATGGTAAAGTAGTGTTAGTAGTAGTCTCATCAACAGTGGATTTTTCTTTAGTATTTGGAAGGCAAAGTGGGTTTTTTGCATAATTTTCCTTGTCAAAACCTGCACAGGTGTGAATTAAAAAAAAAAAAAAAGAAAGAAGTCTGATTACTTACTTCATGTGTAACAGTTTATTTCAATAATCGGTTAATGATCAGATTTTTGCTGCGCATTTAAGCATAACCAGTGAGGTGATAAGATATTTATGTGACAGCTGGGGAAAAAAATTAACATTTTTCCGCATTAATTTCAATAGCAGCTATACTATTTTTACTTGTTTGTTTTTGTAGCCACAGTTGTCCCGGACACGTCCTCTTACCAGTATGATGAATCTTCAGGTTACTACTACGACCCTCAGAGTGGGCTCTACTATGACCCCAACAGCCAGGTACCATCCGGCCTCTTAGATTTACAAACACAATTATTAATTCACTTCATATCAATATTTAATAGGACTGTTGACTGTAGTTGACTATAAAAAATAATCATAGTACTATTTTGAACAATGTAATCATTATCTGGACTCAAACACTTATGAAAAGACTATTTTATAACAAAGATGGTGGAATTATTAAATCAAAATGTAAAAAAATTAATAAATAAATACAAAAACTGTTTAATTAATAATACACTGTTGGTTAATAATAGACTTGTAAATATTTGCTACTTTGAAACCTTCATTTATCATGTTTGGACAATTATTTGATTAAAAATGTGTTTTGAAAATCTAAATGACTAGTTGACTAAAAATAATCATCCTTTTGTCTCTTCTGGTTCATCAGTATTACTATAACTCGGAGACGCAGCAGTATCTGTATTGGGACAGTGAGAAGCAGACCTATGTCCCTGCTACAGGATCAGAGACAAACACAGAGGAGGCGTCCACAACAAACACCTCAAACTCAGCCTCAACTAAAGAGCCAAAAGAGAAGAAGGACAAGCCCAAAAGCAAGTCCGCACAACAGGTAATGAACTTCAAGAATTGTTAAAGCTGCAATGTAACTTTTCTGGTAGAGGGTCTGAAATCTTCTATTCTCCGTGTAGATTAAAAATTAAGTCAGGTTAAAAGTATCAAAATTGAGATATAAACGAGATTCTTATTTGAACAAGTGTCGAGACTGAAAAAAAAAAAAAAAAAATCACAAAGATAGGACATGATTCAACCTTAACGCCATGTGGTAATATAAAATAAGTACTATTATTTTTTGTTGAAATATACCATCTATTGTCTAAAAATAGTCTTTTTCTTAGTTACAAAATAGTCAGGCTTAGTATTGAGACACTAATGGAGATGATTTTTGTTTTGCCTGGAATGTTCCACAAAATGGTACAAAACATATAACAGGTGACAGGTTTTTTGTCAGTAAAAACAACTGTAATGGAATCAGTGAAGAATGGAGAAGTATACTGTGGAATATTCCAAGCAAACAACATTTTCTTGAGACAAGCAGGTCCATTAAAAAACTTGCATAATGCACCTTTTAATGTAGCTTATGTGTATATCTTCTGTATCTCGATTTATTTATGCATGTTATAAATTTTGTGTTAGATTGCAAAGGACATGGAGCGTTGGGCCAAAACTTTAAACAGACAAAAGGAAAACAACAAGAATAGTTCAGGAGCTTCCAGAGAGGAGGAGAGGAGGGAGTCTGCCTCTGCAGACGCGGGATTCTATCTGTTTGAGAAAAAGGTAAATAAAAAACTGTATGGTATTGGAAAGTTGTTTTTTTTTTTTTTTATTATGTCACATTTAATAACTTATTCTTGTTGGTAATTTCAGCAAATGGGAATTGAAATACCATCTTCAGTGACTGAACCATTGAGGAATCAAGAGCAGGAGCCTGCATCTAAGGTTTGTTATGTTTTGCGATTTCTTTTTTTAAGTATTCATTAATTGAGAATGGAAATGTTTAATCTTTTTTTTATCCATAACTTTATAAACAAGAAGTTATATCAGCAGATCAGTAAACAAGTCAGTCCTATTGTAAAAATTAAACAAATGACACAGACCTGACACATATTTGGCCTTACGGAGATGTTGTATGGCATTAATGACCATTGAGACATGTGGTGCAACAAGGCCACACAGTTTAGATCTGTTGAGAGACCATGTATTTACATAGCATGCTTTTTAGGCTATTTCAATAAAAACCTGTAATTGAATAAAAGCAAGTGTTAAATGCCATATCATGGAAGAGTCCAGGCAAGCAATAACATCTTTCCAAAACATCTTATATGAAAAAAGCTACCTTCTTTCTTGCCTTTTTTTTATATGCTATATTTTCTGAACCTCTCTTCTTGTGTCAGGCTGTTTTGGTGCCGTCGTACAGCGGGGACAGTGATCCAGAGGAATCCCCAGCTGATGAAGAGGCTAAGATCACCGACTGGACAAAGATGGTGTGTCTTTTGTGCCGGAGACAGTTCCCCACAAAGGACGCGTTACTCAGGCACCAGCAGCTCTCTGACCTCCACAAGGTGAGAACACAGGAGGAGCAGCACGGCCATCTGCTAACACTGTGGGCAGAATACATGAATATACTAATAATAATAACAAGACAGTGATGGGCTTTAGGTTTTTATTTAGAGCAACATTAACTAAGATGCAGCACCTTCCAGTTCATTCTGGTCAAATGTTTAGTCTAAATGTATCTTAATTTTGTTTTCCTTGTTGGTTTATTATGTCTATTTGAGTTCAGTTTTATTATTTATTATTTAGTTGTTTTTTTTTAATATGCTACAGAAATAAATTTGCCTTGACTAACAATTATTTTAGTTGTCAATTAGTAAGAGATTCATTTTCTATTAGTCAGCTAGACAGACGATTATTTCTTTTATACATTGAAAGTTAACTAGGTAGTTGACTAGTAATGGTTAATTAATCGTTGAAACCTTAGTGAATATAATGAGGGATTATTATTATTATTATTTTTTTATTTTTTTTTTTTCAGCAAAATTTGGAAATTCAAAGGAGAACCAGGCTGTCAGAAGCTGAACTGGAGGAGCTCGAGAGAAGGGAAGCAGAGGTACAAGTTAAAATACACATACATGCAAATACATAACATATATTCAACCTTTTTATATTTTTAGAGATAACAATTTGAATTTGCCAAAAGATTTAGTGCATTGAGTGGCTGCCATTTCATTTTCTAATTGTCTATGATCAGCTTCAGAGTCTTTTTAATCAAGAGGTCTACAGCCAATTCAGTTAAGAAAAGAGTTCAGACTTTAGAGGAATAAATGTGACTTTTTTTTGTTAAATGGCAATAATAAAAAATCTATAATTTCCTGAACATAATGAATACTCATAATGAAAAGCCATTTTTATTTGTTTTCAAAAGGACAAAAAAGAATGAAATTGCCACAAATTGCAAATATATCTGTGTTAATGTTTTTGTCATATGACCCATTCCTGCTGCTAATCTAATACAATACTCACAGAGATAATAATTTTTAATATCTTCAGCAAATATACATATAAGAAAGGAATCCACATTTTTGGCTTGTAATCTTTTGTCTTGAAATGTCGGCCAAGCTGCTGAATAGGTTTTGTAAAAGCATTCCACCTAATGCTTTTTCTAATCTGATTTGTGAATGTCTTCATTTTACAAAGTGAACAAATGTGTGTGCAGCTCAAATACAGAGACCGAGCTGCTGAGAGGAGAGAGAAATACGGAGTCCCTGAACCTCCGGCTCCAAAGAAGAAATTTAAGAAGCACCAACCGGCCCCTACAGTGTGAGTTGAAAACACATATATTTTCCAGATCATTCATTTCATTTCATTCATTTGTTCATAATTCATTGTGATCCATATGTAAGTGTCTGAGTTATATAAAAATATGAACTAAACCTGTCATGATAAAAATGTTTAAACACAATATAATCCTACAGAGACATACTGGGATAAAGAATAATATTGAAACTACATGGTACAATAACAGTAATGCAAGATAATCCTTTCAAACTCTTTTTAAATATAGTATCATGTATTGAACGATAAGTCGCTCTAATAATTATTCTGATAGCCAAAATATTTTTGCTATGACAACATTCCTAATATTTCATCATTCTGAAACTCAAGGATACATTATTGGGCAATAGAGTGCTCACTGAATTACAAAATATTTTCTACCTTCCCCAGAGGATTATTACTGTCAAGCCTAAATTTGCTTTATGACATGAGAAATTTACTTCAACTTCAAATTCATTTAAAAAATCTCTGCAGATATTTGCAGTCTACTTTTATATTTTGACTGTTCTCATTAGCTGTAAATTGTCATTTAAAATGTATATAATTATTTTGAATAACATACCTACCTTTTGGCCACAGGAACTATGAACAGCCCACTAAAGACGGACTGACCAGTGACAACATTGGGAACAAAATGCTGCAGGCGATGGGCTGGCAGGAGGGCAAAGGCCTGGGACGACATCAACAGGGAATCACCACTCCCATCGCTGTAAGTGCATCAGTGAAGATGTACTATCTTAATTTTTAACTTCTATTTGATCATTTATTTAGGCTACAATACAGCAAACTCAAATCGCACCAAATTGTAACAGCTTTTACTATACAATGCCAAGTGAAGTGAAGATGACTGCGAACTTTATTGCACTTGTTAAGGCACAATTAAATGCAAAGATAGAAAGAAAGATTCATACAAAACAACTGGACATATATTCGTATTAAAGGACCCTTATTTCTGATCTATGTTATGATGTTGTTTCCTCATCAGAAACGATGTTCTGTGTTCTTCTCTCAAACAGAAAACACTCTGTTCCACCTTGGGACGTCATTTACACAAAGTGCTCCATACACTTTCACTATATGTTTTTGGGGAGGTAACAACGTTTTAACACGGCTAAAAGCTCACAAGAGTCAATTTTCCGTAATATAGGACCTTTAAACCTGGCCTAATCTGTCTCAGTTTTATAATAATTCTTTGTTTTCCTCCGTAGGCTTCATTGAGGACTAAAGGCACTGGTTTGGGTGTGAAGGGATCTGCGTATGAACTGTCCCCCTCAGACACGTACAAGGATGCTGTCCGAAAAGCCATGTTTGCCAGATACACTGAGCTAGAGTGAAATGATAAACTTGATTACATTTAAGTGGAGGGGCCAAGACATATTTTTACTGTGAAATTCGTGTATTTCTATTCTGTATATAACATATTCTGTATGAAGGTCGTATTAATTGATTTGTCATGTTTTTGTGCATTACTTTATTTGTCGATTAAACTGACGGACATCAATATTGTTTCATTTGCACACTTTTTCAATTCTCTTTGGTTTAAGCTGTTTTTTAACGGGTTGAATTTTATCTTCCATCATTTGTGACCTACATTTTACACAGCCTGTTTCATAATGCAGTATTTATTCTGCCCTGTCCGTTTTCATTTCCTGTTTCCTATAGGCCAAATGGTGCACACGTTCTGTCTGCTGCTATCTCCTCCCTGCAAATAGTATTTCTGATATGAGATATCTCAAAACCTTGAAACTAATTACAGATGGAGATCTCAAGATTATTCAGTTAACCACATCATCTCTATAATCACTATTTGAGAAGTAAAAGGGCCCATATTATGGTATTTTCTCATCGATGTTATTATGTTATTTCCTCCTCATAAACATACCCAGAGTTGTTTCATTCACACATGTTTAACTCACAAAGTCTCAAACAGAAAACACTTTGTTCCACCTTGTGATGTCATGTGGTATTACAGGAAGTGCTCCACTGTGTTTTTAAACTCCATACACCTTCACTAGGAATCATTTGGATAATTTCAGATCAGGAATTGGTAATTTTTCTATTGAACTAAAGGTAAAAGGTAGCTGTTAACTTTAAAACTACCACTTCATGATATCACAAGGTAGAACAGAGCATTTTGACCTTTGGAGATGTAGACCAGTTAATAATAAAGGTTTCTAAAATATTTGTGAATGAAACAACACAAATGTAGGTATATTTTTAAAGATGTAACAGCATTCCAACATGGCTAAAAGCTCGCAAGATTTGGATTTCCTTTGCATACTGAAATTTGTTTTAAAAAAAAAATTAAATTCTAACCACATGTAAAATTATGCTTGGTTCGATAGACAACCTGTAGTTTAGTCTTTTAGCTTTATCATTTGTTTATGAATCACTTAACATTGTCAATCGAAGGCATAGTCAGCTTTCTTTTTTCATTATTTCCCTCTCAGTTCCAAGATAAACTACTTTCCTTTGTTGCTTACATCAGCTTTTACTCTGTCCTATTCAAACTCTATTATACATATATTACCAAACAGCAGTGGATAATCCTGGAAAAGTCCCGGCTGAGTGACTGATGGACAGTTGATTAAAATCAGGAGTCTTGTTGGGACACTGGAGAAGCCCGATAGTTTTACGCCAGATCAACTTACCCCAATCTGTGTCAGTTGACTAAGCCTTTTACATAACATGGAGAATCCACAGCAGCTCTGAAAAATCTGCAGTCTGCACCACACGTCACCAATGTACTTATTATTATTCAAGAGTTTGACACAGAAAGAAGGGAACTACACGGGCAATGTTTTAATATCCTGGGAAAAAAAAACATCTTAACTTCTGCTAAAACTGTTACCAAATATTGAAGGAATTGGTTGTGGTTAAAGGTAGACTGTGTAACATTTCTAGGGAAAGATATGACGCTTGTCTCCATGGAGATGTACTTGCTTTGTCTGGAATGTATTGGGTTCAGTGCATGGGTTTCAACTCCCAGTTTTATTTGACATTTAGAGGACTTTTTGCCCCATTCAAAAATATAATGTAATATTTAGTTTAAAATTGTTAATCACTATGGCAACAGTCCTAATTTTCCACCATTTGGAAACCCACGGATGGGTCAAAAATACAGGAAAAAACATGCCTTTATGCTGTGATCAGGCCTTCTTATCTACATGGAATTGGATGAGTTTAATGCAATACTGTGGAACATTCCAGACAAAATACATGAAATGAAAACATGAAAAGTTACACAGTGCATCTTTAAATCAACGACACAAGAGATTACAGCATCTTCATACAAACAGATGAACAGTAATTCTTATTGGCCCAGCGCATAGGCATCCCTGAAATGTCTCCATGTTTATTTTTATAACTGGCCAGTCTGTGATGCTTATATGTCTAAGAAAAAGCCCCTGTGTAGTCAGGTGCATTGACCCTGAGCGCACAGTGTCCAGTGGAGTTTGAAGTGTCTGTGTTTCTTTGCTCCATGATTCAAAAAACAACATCCTAAAGCAAATCTGCAGCTTAATTCTTGTCCTACGCTGGCTCCTACAGCGCTAATAAACTGGTCTGGAGCAGGGAAGTCCTTTAAATCTGTCTACAGCTATTGAAAAAGACACTGTAATGTAGTGAAGACTCTTTTCAGAGGAATGTGGCCTAATATAGTAAAATGGTATTGTCGTTTTGAGCCTTTAATCACCTTTATGTAATAGTTGTGGTCAAAGAGTTCACCAGTTTCATTTTACATTATCTAAGATTATTCAGGTAATGCACAAGTACCAGACTCGATACCATAGATAGACTTTATATGTAAATGGACATGGCTAACCCACTAAACGAGTTCCAAATAACAAGTGAGCATTGGGGCGCTTCCAGCTCCTTCAACTTTGCTTAGAAATGACTTTCCATCCATTTTCTTCTGCTTATCCAGGTCGCAGGGGCAGCAGTCAAGCAGGGAATCTCAGACTTCCTTCACCCTGGACACTTCCTCCAGCTCCTCCGGGGGGACCCCAAGGCGACATAGTCCCTCAAGCATGTCCTGGGTCTTCTCTGGGGCCTCCTTCCGATGGGACATGCCTTGACACTTCTTGAGGGAAGCACCCAGGAGGCATCAGAACAGATGCCCAAGCCACCTCAACTGGCTCCTCTTGACGTGGAGGAGCAGCAGCTCTACTCTGAGCTCCTGCCATGTGACTGAGCTCCTCACCCTGTCTCTAAGGGTGCACCCAGCCACCCTGCAGAGGAAACTCTTTTCAATCGCTTGTATTCGTGATCTTGTTCTTTCGGTCATTATCCAGAGCTCATGACCATAGGTGAGAGTAAGAACAAAGATTGACCAGTAAATCGAGAGCTTCGTCTTTCAGCTCAGCTCCCTCTTCACCACAACAGTTCGATACAGCGACCGCGTCACTGCTGACACTGCACCAATCTGTCTGTCAATCTCATGCTCCATCCTCCCCTCCCTCATGAATAAGACCCTGAGATACTTGAACTCCTTCACTTGAGAACCATGGCCTCAGACTTCGAAGAGCTGATCCCCATCCCACCCACTTCACACTCGGCTGCAAACCGCCCTAGTGCACACTGCAGGTCCTGGCTTGACGAAGCCAACAGGACAACATCATCTGCGAACAGCAGAGATGAGATCCTGTGGTCCCCAAACCGGACCCCCTCCGGTCCCTGACTGTGCCTAGAAATTCTGTCCAAATACGATGGAAAAAATACAATGAACAGAACCAGTGATAAAGGGCAGCCCTGGCAGAGTCCAACATGCACCAGGAACAGGTCTGACTTACTGCCGTACACTGCCATATTACAGGAAGAACTGACTTTAAATTGAAAAATTGTCGCCCCTCTCTCTGTAGCTGTTGCAGTGAGCCTCGTCATTTTGGTCTTACAATGTTCGTATTAACTCACTCTGATGTTTTTATTTCGCTATCTTGTCTATAAACAAACTCCTATTCCTAAAACAGACCTGGCTCCAAATTTGCTCCTGTAACCGCTGGCCATATGAGCTTCATTTGACTGGACCTGAGCACTATTGGGTGACATCACACTCCCTTAGTCCACTTCTTTATACAGTCGATGAATAGTAGAGAGAAATATAGATCCAAACGCCATGCTCTCGTTGGTGGCCTTGAATAGGACAGCTACCACAACATCTACAGAGCTGTGGCGTGTGTCCAATTTTACTCAAATCAAGATCCAATCAAAACATTAAATTGTCAATTATATGCTTGGATGTTTTTAATCATAGGGCCTACAGCCAAGCTCTTTTTTTGGCTTGTGGTTTGGAGTTCAGATTTTGGAGGAAGAAAGTAGAATTTTTTTTGCACTGATTAACTGTCTGTTCATGGAATTAATATTGAATGGCATGTTTATTTTTTCTAATAGAAATGTATACTTTTTTGGATGATATCTCCCAGAACTCAATCCAATCTTTACTGGATGCCAAAGTTGAGTTGGCAGTGTTGCGTTGCAGTTGAGTTTTGCCTTCACTGCTGACTTATCTGCTGTAAATACATCAGAGCATTAGTTAAACTTTAGTAAACTTTCTGTACATTTGACCCCTGTCCTGTCCTCCTCTTTACTCGACCAGCCCCTCCTTCAGTGCACGGCTCCCACAGAGAAGAATAATGCTGGTGCTTTATCTTTCCCCTGCAGAGACTGTCTTTGAGCCTGTCTCTGAGCTGTGTGTACTTACAGTCCTGGCCCCCTTTGATGGGCCGAAGGGGGCGGAGGGGGGACAGAGGGGACAGAGGGGGGACAGAGGAGCAGACCCCAGCAGACACTTTGTGAGTCAAACGTTCTCAGATGATTGAAGTAGAGAGGGAAAACAAACAGTGGCTCCTGTAGTGACAGATGTGTCCTCATGCGTGCTTATGGTAAAGTCTTGAATCACTGTGATGTACGGGGACATTTTCAGGACACTGGTTTGGTTTTGGTATCAATATTCTCAATCAAATATGGATACTGTACACAAAATGAAATCTATAAATGTGAAGTCCATGTACATCAATGTTATATGTATCAGGTCATCAGGTGACAGGTTTAAATCAGATAGATGTATGCAGATGTAGTTAATGCATCCTTCCTAAAGGTCCTATATTACACCAGTTTTGTGAGCGTTAAGGCATGTTATAATGCTGTTGCCTCCTCAAAAACATACCTGGAGTTGTGTTTTGTTTCATTCACACATGTTCGAGCAATCCTTTATTATTAGTCTGTATACATCTCCAAAGCTCAAGATGCTCTGTTCTACCTTATGACGTCATCGAGTGGTGGTTTCCAACAGCTACCTTTTACTATTAGTTCAGTAGAGATTGGCATTTCCAGGACTGAAATTATCCAAATTATTCTAGTGAAGGCATATGAAGTTTAAAAACACAATGGAACACTTCTTGTATTACCGCATGACATCACAAGGTGTTTTCTGTTTGCGAGAAGAATTCAGCCTAAATGTGCAGGATTTGTGTGTTGAACATGAGTGAATGAAACAAAACACTA